CATGTGGAACTGCAAATGAACCTCCAAACTTTGCAAGGTATAATTCTTTTCATGTGCATACATCTTGCAATATCCCATCCAAGGCAAAAGAGCTTGTCCTGCATGCATGGACAGAAAATGCAGTGTGGTTTGAAAACCAAGTTAAAAAAAAAAAAGAATTAAAAATCTTTTTATTTTATGGGACACATATTTTAAGCAAAAAGACGCTTTAGTTCAAATCAGAGATCAATCTTCTTTAGCGATGCTGCTAAACTTTCTTATTAGCTGGCTCAATGATCGAAACTCATCCATTTGCAATGCTCACTTTTGTAGCAAGCTCAGATCAATTCATTCCAGGCTTGCTATCAAGGTGGAAATTGATTGTGAGCTTCAGAGTATGGGCAGTAAAGCAGCCCACATATTCATCCACTTAATTTCCAGTCTTCCCACGATCTATGGACCCTTCTTCCCACAAGCTATAATGGAACCAATTCCTTCCTTCAATGGGGAGCAATCGCTCTCTGAGGAGAAGGAAGACTCTAATCCAAAAAATCAGTGACAGTAAATAAACATCACATGGCACCATTATGCAGGCAGGTCACGTGGAAACACAAAGACACAAAGCAGCAATGCATGATGTGATGACATACCATGTGGTTCCCAAGATGCATCTTGAGATTACTCAAGTGCAAAATACATCTAAATGTTTCCTAGTTTGGTGGTGTGATTCAGGCCTGGAAGGAACCTTGGATCCTTCCTTCCTCCCTAACTGGCACACCTCCAGAATGCCCAGTTTCCCTTTTCCACTGTGGAAATCACAATGCAAAACTCTTTGAGATTGGGAGGAGCCTGAAAGACAACTCTAACCTGTGTAAAAATAACCCTGCAAGCTTTTTGAGCTAACTACAGCCTCAGAAGTGTTTTTGTGAATAAGTCTATGCACCAAGGATATAGAATTTATGAAGACAGAATCGCTTTCTTGAAAGGTAATTTAAAAATAAAAATGGGTTGCACTTCTCCCGAAGCAGCAGGTTTGTAACTTGGGGGTGCTCCTTTGTCACCTGAAGCTCAGGTGGCCGTAATGGCACTACCAGATTCAGCTGGTGGTCAAGCTATGCCCCTATCTGGACAGAGATAGCCCAGTTTCAGTAATCTACACTCTGATAATCTCTAGATTAGATTACTGCAATGCACTCTACATGGGGCTGCCCTTAAAGATGGTTCAGAAGATGCAGTTGCTGTAAAATGCAGCATCCAGATTAACAACTGGGCACAGAGGTCTAAACATGTAAGACTCATTCTAATCCACCTGTATCGGTGGTCTAGTATTCTAATCCACCTGTATTTCTCTTATGCAAAACAAGCCAACATTTCTCCCGCTCACATTGTTGCTTCAGACTGGGTGGCTACACACACAAACACACACTCTAGGAGCCCTTCTTGTGCCACCCAAATAAGTCTTGCAGCAAGCAAGCCTGGATTCTCACAGATTTGTGTACAAGAGTGCAAAGGTTCAAGTACTTTGTTCTTTTTTCTTTCAAATTGAAAAATACCACTGCTTTCTTCTGCAGTGAATTAATCATTAATACATGCTCACCACAACAGGGTATGGATGAGCAGGAGTGAGGGAAAGGAGGCCAGAGATCTGAGGTGATACTTTGTATGGGTCAGTGGATAGAAGCAAGACTTCAAAGGGGCAGAGAGAAGGAGAAAGGAATGGCAAAGCGGAAGATAAAAGAGAAGAAGAAGGTTCAGAAGGGAAGTCGTGGCTGGCTGTCACCCCTTCCCTGAGGCACACTTGAGAAGAGAGGCTGATGTGATTCTAGAAGTAGTTGAAGTCATTGCCTAATTGGTGATCATGAACACTGGAAGTTCCATGCATGTTTGTGTCCTGGATTTGTACAAAATAGCTGGATTTGTTTTGTCGGATTTTCTGGAAAGGCTACTGAGAAATTGCTAACCCACCTCTCTTAAAACAATGGAAGATTTCTAATCAGAAAAGGATGATGCAAGAAGTTTCATGGTACAATATTTAGAATTTGAAGTAGTAAAGAGTGAAAAGTAGCAATTCTGTTAAATGGAAAACACAGAAATACAAGCAAGCTAACATGAAATCTAAATCAACAGCAAAGGATAGTTGACAAGATGACCTGAACAGTACCCAAGGTGGGTTAAAGCTCTGTCAGTTGGGTCAAATAATGATTTCATTAATGAACCAGGGCAGGACAAGGTTAAAAGTGCACTTTAAGGTTTCATTTATCAATGAATGTCCAAAAAATATTCTGTAAGGTGAACAAATCAAAAAGCTGAATAGAGAGATGTCTAAAAACTATTTAGAGAGCTTTAATTTAGAGGTGAAACATTTCACATATTTGGCTCAGTCACCAATTCAAAGGGAGACTGCAGCCAAGAAATTTGAAGAAGACTGAGACTAGGAAGAGCAGCAATGAAGGAACTAGAAAAGATCAAGTGTAAGGATATTACACTGAAGACCAAGGTCAAGCTCATCCACATTATTATATTCCCAGTCATCATCTATGGGTATGAAAGCTGGACAGTGAAGAAAGCTGTCAGGAAGAAAATGAATGGGTTTGAACCACAGTGCTGGAGGAGAGAGTTTTTAGTACCCTGGACCAACAGAAAGACAAACAAGTGAGCCTTAGATCAAATCTCGCAAGAACTTGCCCTAGAAGCAAAAATGACAATGCCGAGGCTGTTGCACATCATGAGAAAGCAAGGTTCACTGGAGAAAACAGTGAGGCTGGAGAAGTCGAAGGAAGAAGAAAAGACCAAATATCAAATCCCTAAAGCAGGGGTCCACAAACTTTTTTGATAGGGGGCCAGTTGAGAGGCAGCGGCTACACACGGGCCGGTGAGGAGGGCGGGCCTGGGCACGCAGGCCAGTGAGGTGACATCGGGTGTGCGCGAGGTGGCGTTGGGCGCTCACAATGGTGGCTTGCTCACTCAGAGATCTCCCAGCGAGACCAAAGCCATCTCTGAGCAAGCACGCCACCACCTCCTGCCCGTGCAGCGAGCACGTGCGCAGGTGTGGGGGGGACGGTGGCGTGGGCCAGATGAATGGGCATGGCAGGCCAGATCCATCCCACAGGCCATAGTTTGAGGACCCATGCCCTAAAGAAAGCCACAGCTTTGAGTCACAAGAGTCAGGCAGGCCTGTCAAGGATGGACGTTTTGTTTGATTTATAAAACCGCCTCCAATAGTCCCAAATGGACTATTTTGGGGGGCACGCATTGTTAGGGGTGCTATAAGTCAGAACAACTTGGTGGTATGTGACAGCAACAAGATCAATGCATAGTGTGCTCTTTATTACATATGGAGTACAGTCCTAATGAAGCCACTGAAGACATTTAACGTCCTTGCAGAAACGAAACAAAACAAAAAAATTGCAGAGCACACTCATTAAGCACAAGAAGAATAACTGCAAATTCAATGAGCAGCACAATCATGCAAAAAGGATCAGATGAAGAGAAAATTGTTTGAAACATATCTTCCAGCCAGACTTAGTTTTGCACTGGACGACTCCCAAGTATCTGGAGAAGTGGTGCTTTTGCTCTACCCAGCAGCACTTTTTAACAACCAGAGAGGATTAACTTGGAAACTGCTCTTCTGCCTTTGCATCTGCCCTTCATTAGGAGAGGAGGCAGTTGCCGTTTCCATTGCTTGTCCCCTGCCTACTCCCATCATCCACACCTGTTCCTTTGCCTGCAGTAGCACATGGGACTTCAGGTATGTCACACCACAGATGGGCAAGAAAACACATGAAAGTTTCCGGATTTCACTCAACTCCTGATTGAATGGCAGGTTTAAAGGAATGCAAAGCTCTGGCTGTGCTTCTATTTCTCACATCCTCTTTGCAGCCACTTCCCAGCCATACCCTAAGATCCTTTCCTGCTTTTGCCCTCTATCCTCAACTTTGCTGCAATACAAGGAGAGCCCAAATCCACATTTTCCAATGAAAGTGGCAATGGGAGCGAGTACCAATGCAGAAAAGGAACGCATTCACACGCAGCCAACTAGATCTTGCACACCAGTATATTTTTTCCGCTCATGTGATATTCAGAAGGAGCTATGTAGAATTAGGACCTCACCGTAAGGAGTTCAGAATGATTAGTTTGTCCACATTGGGGAATTATCTGCAACTGATGACTCCTCTTGACCTACCATGCAAATTGAGAAGTAGGCTCACTCTGCATTTTTTAACTTGACTTCCTGCCTGTGGTAGACTGGGACACAATCCCTCTTCCTCCTCAGAAGAGACTCAGGAGTGAACCGTTCAGGGAGAGGACTCGGGTGCAGAAAGCCACCTGATGGTTTCCACCACGGCAAGACTCAGATATCCAGAGGACATCTGAAGATCCTTGGCCACTGAGGACTCCAGCAGCAAGAAACTCCTGCGGCAGCACAACCTGGGGTTTCTCAAACAGTTGAAGCCCATTTAAGAGAAAAGGCCTCGGTCAGTGTGGAGATGGAGCCGGCCAGCTTAAGGGAAGCTCAGCCTCTTACTTAAGGCTCAGTCCCACTCTGCCACTTGCTGGAGCACTATATAGACACCCTGCTCTGGCTTCCAGCCCCAGCTCCACTCAGAGCATTCTGTGTGCCACCCTATTTCCGTCCCTGCCTTCCTGAGAAATCCGACTGGCCCCAAGCCTTGGGGTGCCCCGAGGCTTCGGAGAATGGGGCGGCATAGAAATGTTTTAATAAATAAATAAATAAATAAATAAATAAATAAATAAAGTCCAGATTTGCAGCGGAACCCAGACACCACAAGTGCCTAACCATGTCAAGGCCTTGCAACAACGGTGTTCAAATAGAACACTTCCTTTGAAAAGCAGCTTCTGCTCACTTGGAATGTGTAACCGTTGCCCCTTCGCCCATCTTTTCTAGGTAGCGCTACCCATCTTTTCCAGAGACACATTCAAGATGTCATGGGGGCAGCTACTCAGCTTTTTTGTTGCTCAACAGTAGAATGCAAACATCTAAGTTAAAAGAAGCTGCACACCTTCAGTTCCTCCTGAATTTTCTCCTCCATCAATTTGGCTGCTTTGCGATCATCTGTCTCTGTTTTCCATTTCTCTGCCACTATTCGCGCTTTCTCCTTAGCCATGGCATCCCGGAACTTCTTTGTAATTTCAGCTTCTTGTTCCTTCCTTCAAAAAACAAGAAAGAGAGAGAGATGGGAGAGCAAAAAAGAGGTTTCTGGGAAGCTAAAGATGTGCAGTTTTCTTATATAAGCCTTTGTGGACTGTTTACCTTCCCTCCACCTAGAGCAACACATATGGATATGTTCATGTGTGGGTGTGTAGACATATACAAATGCAGACTAATGCGCACACACACCTGCTGGTTGAGGATAACACTGCAATCCAAGCAGATTGCCAGAGCAAAAACAGGCTGTGATTTATAGCCAGTCTCCCCTGATACTTGGCATTCTTTCAAGCAGCCAACTGATTGTCAGAAAGTCCGAACCTCACAGCTGCTCACAAAACCCCCTGCTGACGATTCTGATAATCCCTGATTGATGATGATGGAGGCACGTGCCCAGAGCTCTCTGTTTAAGCAGCACTCCATGGCAGCACCAAAGGCTGTGCACTGAAACAGGGCCTGGGGGCTGGGGGGGGGGGGGGATGTCTTGATTAAAGAAAGAAACCTAATACCCTTGTGTATTTTTCAAGATTTCAAATGCAAATGAAATAGATACTTGTTTTTACTTTTTGAAGTGGTTTCCTTTGGGTAAATTATGTCATTTCTGACCTAAGAGAAGTGGGTTATTGCAAACATACACACACTTTAAAAAGCTGGGAGGCATGCTACTTATTTTTGCTATTAAAACTGAGAATTGCTTGGCAAGGAAAATACTGCTGTATCACTTGTAGTGGAGAAGGTTGCTGACCTTTAAGAATCCTCATTCAACACCATCAGGTTCTACAATTTCCAGGTTTTACAAGTGCTCACCATAATTCCTCTGCTTCTCTCTGGGCTTGTTGCCTGGCTTTTTCCGCCATGAGTTCCTCCGAAATCTGCTCGTATGGCTTGTCTCCAGGAGCGTCTCCCATAATCCAAACCCAGACCTCTCCATCGGCCCCACGGAGCCACTGAACTCGTTTCCCATTATCTGTAACAGCCACCAAAATGGACACAGAAGACTTTGTGGGAAGGGGTCAGTCTCTGAATGAATAACTCCCAGGGAAAGCAAGGTTCAAAATACAAATCACGGAACTGAGCCCATGAGCTATTTCAAGGAAAGAAGGCCAGCCTCAGCGAGCTGCACTGGCCCTGACAGAGTGACACTCAGCCAAGCGCCAAGACAAGCAAGTTGGGATAATGTCTTGGGGGAACACTCTCTTTAGGGAACAGCACTCAGCATCCTCAACTCTCTGCTTTGTTCTGCCCATGTCCCTAAAGAAGGATGGGTACCCTGCTCCTTTCCCCTTGGAAATGTCCTCTCCCTGCTGCCAGAGTTAAGTCTTGTGCCTCACTGCTGACTTCATAAAGTTTGGACAGCGTGATGTCAGAATGCTGCCAGAATGACATTGCAATACATAAATGGAGGTCAAAATGATAATCTCTGAGGGGGTGAATTTACCAGCACATGCTGAATGGATTGAGAGTGGTTACAGAGAATTATTTTACCATCTCTATTGCCATCTTGACATGTGATTTAAAAAATTCTCTGTACACACTAGACAGGATGATATATGGCCAAGACATTACTTTGAATATGTGTGTTAGCAGCTATGTCTTTCCTCCCCCTCCCCTTTTTTTTTCACTTTGATCCTAGAGCAGACAAAGGGACCTGGTCCAGATCTTAAAGCCCTGTCTCTTTTGGCCTGTAGGCCTACGGTGCTGGAGGTTCAGAGGTTTGAGGCGGTAAAGGGTGGGTGTGGGATACAACGAAATGTCTTCCTGCTGTTCCTGGTCATGCAATGCATGTACATTACAGGACAAGTCTGCAATTGTGCAGTTAGTATGCCGATCACAATTTGAGGGCCCCATTAGATATTTTAAAGTCAGCCTCTTGACTTTCCTGCCCCTTCCCATCTGTAGTGCAATAAGAGTTCCCGAGAGTTAAACTGTCACTTGAGAATAATAGTGAAAGACTTTGCAGAATTCCCTCAAATGGGAAATACAAGGAGACTTCAAAACGTTTTCACACTTTTCGAAACTCTATTTATTAAGAATTTCAAAAACAAATTACATCACTTTTCTACATAGTCACCTTCCTTTGTGATGCTTTTTTCCCAGCGTCAAACCAACTTTTTAATGCCATCAGCAAAAATATATATAAAATATATTTCTAAAATATAAAAGTGCAGAAACTTTTTGAAGATCCCTCATAGCTACTGTATCAGGACACAGGGAGTGTGGTTGTCAGTCCTTCTGGATGCATACAGAGAGAGAGAGATGAAGTTGTTGGCGATGGATACAGGGAAGTTAAAGAGGAGAACATGGGCAGAAAGAGAAATCGTGGCAGAAAGGGTTGGGCAAAGATTATAATGCTGGAGAAACAACAGTTGGTTTAGAGGCATAAAATCTGAAGAAGTGCGGCTAACCCTTCAGAATGGCCGCAGACTTCCTGAGAGAAGGTAAAGCAGCAGAACCAGAGAGAAATTGCTGAGAGATGAAACAGAGCAGGGAGCAGGGAGTACTTAGAAGTCTGGGGGGTGGGGGTGAAACAACCCTCAGCATAGAAAATTATGGGGAGCAAACTTTAAATACAAATTAAGGGACATTCCGAGGGTGCAGACCATCCTCTGCCTTGGAACAAGCCAGCTTCTTCCCTCTGAATTGATATTCCCACAGTTTAGCAGAAACTGCAGGAATCACCCCATTAGCAGACTAATAGGAAGTGCTGCAGGAAGGCATCAGACTAGAGAAAAAACTGTCACCTTTCCTTCCACAAGCTGCTCATTATTTTTATGAAGTCTGGAGTCCAGCGTTGCCTAGCAGCACCCTGTCACCCAAGCTTTCTCGGGGGAGGCCTAACTTGCCCAAGGAGCTACTACTAGCCCATTGCCCTTGTGCCTTTGTTGTGCACATGGGGACTCATGTCCTGGTGAGTGTAGCCCAGTAACTCACAAATGGGTGAAGGTTTTCAAACACTTGTTCTCAAGAACAAAACAGCTGTCAGTGAATCATTCCTGGACGGCATGCCCCGAGAAGTCCTTGGGGTGCCCTTTAATCCATTAGTCCATTAAAGGGACTCGCTTAACACAGCTAGCACTTTCTAATAGGCTGAAGAGCTGCGGTTACAATGGTGTGATTTTTCCCACCTGCCCATCGAAGTAGAAAGACGATGTCCCGAATTGGGAGGGGATGTCCCTCGGAGATGAGGGGAGGCTGGGGCGTTTTTCCAGAGGTGAAAAAGGAGGTGTCAATTGCTCTTCTGTTCTCACTGTTTTCTGCCATGTGTCAACCGCCTGCTCTGAGGCAGTTCCTGCATATTTCAGCTACACTTCAAGAAATTGCATTTGCCACTCTCTGAAATCTCTAGCTTTAGCCAATGATGGCATGATTTTCCTGCGTGATTTTATACCCATTGATTTGCACATCACCTTGGGCCGCTGTAGGTAGCAAGGAAGAGCAGGTGTGTGGCCTGCTTACATTGCAGGTGCGGTGCCAGAGGCCTTTTGCAGTGCTCACCCCCTTGAAGTTTGTTCAATGTGGGTAAGTGCAAGGTCTTGCACTTGGGGCATAGGAATGCGCATCATAGGTACAGGTTAGGGGACAAGTGGCTGGAGAGCAGCACTTGTGAAAGCGATCTCAGGTGCTGGTCAATATGGGCTAAACATGCGCCAGCAGTGTGACATGGTGGTCAAGAGGGTGAATGCCACCCTTGGATGCACAGCCAGAAGCGTGGCTTCTACATCAAGAGAGGTATTACTCCCACTCTATATGACTGGTGTATCGAGGATGACGGCCAGATTGCAGGGAAAGCCATATGAGGCAAGATTGAGGGAACTGGGTCTTTTCATCCTGGAGAAGAGGAGACTCCAAGGGGATGTGTTGGCGACATACAGGTACATGAGGGGGTGTCACATGGAGGTGCGTAGAATGAGAAGGTCAGGACGTGTTCCAATGGAGCCAAGCTCAAGGAACTAAGGTTCAATTTGGACATACTTCCTGATGGTTAGGACCCCAAAGGTATGGAATGGACTTGCACAGGAGAAGGTTGAAGCCCCATATGGCAGTGAGGGTGTTCAAGGATAGGCTGGACATGCGCATGGTGGGCATGTCATGAGTGGTCGGCTGGAACTGGGGGGTCAGACTAGATGGCCCAGGAGACCCCTTCTGACTCGCTCTGATTCTATGTTTCCAAGTTGGCACCTGCCCTTTACCTTGGGGGAAAACAGCCGTGGGTTTCCTTGCTAAAAGGTCTTCAGTATGCAGCAGTGCCTGAATTTGGAGCAAGGTCATATATGCATGGACAGCTTGCCTTGGCTTGCTTCTGTGTGTCTGGAGCTCCTTGGGCCTGCTGCTGTCTTTCCGGAGCGCCCCTGCTTTTGTCATGATCCATCTGGCCAGATCGTGGTGGGTGCATGATCCTCTTTGGTTTAAGAGTTTGCACTAGGCTAGGGAAAGGTACTTTGTGGGAGGAAGGTGGGAACAGCCTGCAGTTTAGCATGTAGCCATCACAAGGCCTGGTGGAACCAGTGCACTGAAGCTCACCAGAATCCATCCTTCTGCAGTCCATTCGACTTCCTCTCAAGTGCTCCGTCTTAGGCAGTGAACCCAGCTGAGAGGATGTCCACGAATGCTTGTGGAACTCTGCTTGCACAAATGGCAACCTTCTCCCACACACAAACCTAGGCTGCAAGACGCATGCGTGCAAAGGGGATGCCACTTGTGCAGTGCTTGTGCAGGTGTGCTTCCTGGTGTAAGCCCACACCACACTCACCAGCAAGTTAGACACCCAGCTGCGAGAGTGCCTGGTGGAATCCAGGAAGTCGAGGGCAGGGGTTCCGATGGAGTCCTACCCCAAAACCAATTCCTCACCCGTTCCTTCCAAGTGCCGCCTTAAAGACTAACAAATTTACTGCAGCCCAATAAGGCTTCAGGTCAGGAATTCACTGCACATCAAACTTCTGAAAGCATTTCCATGTAGCTGGAGAAAAATGGTACTTGCTGAAATGATGATGCAGGGACTGGATGGTGGCTGCTGGAACTGACCTGCCTATATTACCCTGTCTCTTGCCCTTGTGCACACGCCCTCCAGCTGCCACTGCTTGAATCTTTCTGCCTGAGGATTTTTCAGAAATCAGATGCCCTCTTCCCCTGTTTGTGCAATCCCACTTTACAAAGAGTAGCACTGTTAGGTGCATTGAAACACACACACAAATACCCAGGATTTGGCATCTAAAGCAGCAGTCTCAGGCTAGAACATCCTGAAGAACAATGCATTATGTGCTATTGTTTCACTGATTGTTTCACTGCCAGGAATGGGAAAAGATGCTTGTAAAATTCAATGTTGGGGGCCAGGCAAAACACCTTGACTTGCTTTGAGCAGTCATATGCACTTTGACTGGGGTTGCAAGGGGTCTATGAATGTCTAGCAATGAAAGGCTCCGTGATCCCAGCATCCTCCCATCAGCTAGGCTTGCAGGGCATGCTGGGAGGTTTAGGGCCTTTTTCTGTCCAAGCAAGCCTAGGATGTCTCCCTAAACCCATCTGTGCATTTGAAGCTTCTGGGATCACCTAAGCCATGCAAAGTTAGGACTATTTGTTAACTGTATTAATAGTATAAAGTGGTGTTCACATACCCACCAGTAAAATAGAAATATGTATAGCAAAGCCAGTGAAAAGTGGTCCTCAATAAAGGAAATAAGCATTAGGAATAGTTCAAAAAGATGGACATAAGCTAATCTTTATGTGGGTGTGCATGTGTGTCGGGAGGAATCTATGAGGAAAAGCCAGGGCAAAATGAGCATAGACATTCAAAAGCATACTAACAACAGTGCAGAAGGTTTTTATAGAAAGGTGACAGAAAGCAGGAGCAAGGCTTATGTGTAACATAAAAAATGAGAGATCTCCACAAGTCAGCAAAGTATAAGCAAAGTGGCTCATGCATCCCCCAAGAGGCTGCAAAAAAAGCAAAGCTACTGGTAACAGAGCACT